TCACATTATATGGTTTAACGTAAGGGTTTATAAGGTGGTTTCTCCAGCTAATGGAAATGCGCTTAATAAAAATTCTGACCTTGGGTAAGAATTTGCTTTTTACCCTGTTGCTGGGTTCATGTGCATACATGAATACATACACCCATCCAAAATGTTCTCTTCCCAACACTCATTAAATATAATATTGACTTGGTTTAACAACCTGATCTTGTGCCAGCTTCTCTTTTTCTTGAGGTTCCAAAGGTTCCCAGATAAAAGACCAAAAGTTGCTTATTTCTTCACACCTGATTTCTCCTAGAGCCATAAATACCTCCTATTAAGAACTAAGAAGTAGTGAATACTGGGATTTTCTTAGTTGGATTTTTTACTTTTGTTTAGTGGGGATAGCGAGACAGAAGTAGAAGGAGAACTAGTGCCGGTATTACTGTTAAAAATTAATGTGTAGTGAATTTTTGAAAAGTATTAAAATATGCTATCTAGAAGCAAGATTTAAAAAAAAAATCTGAAATTTTTAAATGCCTTTAGCTAACTAAAGGATACCAAGAAATCTAAAATAAGGTTAGTGTTTTTAAAACTAACGTAGGCTAGAGTCACAAATCTGGCTCTGAAGGATGTCTTTTGTATCAGTTTATCTGTAGATCCTCAAAAAGAAGTACTATGGGTTGCCAAACCACAGTTTAAGAAGTTTTGCTGCTGTTGTTAATCTATTCTTACAGGATTCTCGTGGTAAAATAGAGAAGCTTAGACACTATATTACCTTCCTGAAACATGCTTTAAATAACATGTTTAATATTCTATGAGAGCAAGTCACTTCTGAGTTTCTCGGTCTGCTACTGACTCACGTCTCCTCCCCTGGAAGAAGGCTGCAGTTTCCGTCTGGCGTGAAGATAAGCATAGTTGACTCATAAAGCACTTTGAAAAGAGGCACTGTATGACAGTGCTGGGTATTATGCTTGGGGGACTGTCCTCGATTCCCTTCCCCATAATAATGAGTTCTGTTTGGAATTGTAATAAGTTATGAACTGCATGGTTTAGATAATCATAAATATTTGATCAGCTCTCCCCTTTGAACAGAAATCATATCCCCTGATTTTTTAAAAATTTTTGTTGCATCTTTGTAGTAATGTAATTGTATTTTATGCCTGCTTTTTATATTAAAAATTAAATAAAAGAAATTAAGACATAAGCATTTTCATACTCTTCCTGTGAATAGTCCTGGAATGCTGCAACCATCTAAAATTTATCCCCCCAAATTTTGCCTTCCTTGTATGATGGGTATAGCAAAACGATCATAAGCAAGGTTACAGACTTGTGAATGCTCCACCCTGTCATTTAGTCCATAGAGAAATACAAAAAAGAATTTCAGCAAGGAGTCTGTCGCTGATTTGATTTAGGTATTTTAAGGGACATGCAAATCTAACAATCTCATTTGAGTGTCCAGGATAAGGAAAGGACGCAGGGTACCTGTTTTGTCAGGAACAGTGTGCTGAGAGATGGTTTTCGAGAAGGCATTTCTTTGGTAATCCGTGGGTTCTTATTTAGGATACTTACTGGCTGTCAGATGTGGGACAGGTTATTCCATCTGAGCTTCAGTGTTCTCATCTTTTGTAGAGTTGAGACTGTTTTGTTACAGGATTGTTGTAGGATTAAATATGGTAATGTGTGTAGGATATCTGGAATAGTTCAAGTATTCCCTTTTCTCCTGAAAAGGAAAAATGGGGAACTCCTCACCTAAGATGGTATGTTCTTAAGAGAGAAGCTTTAAGCAATGATAAAGTTCTAATTAAAAAGTGTATTTAAATTAAATATTTGTTGGACTCAAAAATCACATAATTTGTATTTATACCAATGGTTAGATTATAATTGCATATGAAAAAAAATCACTTGGATTTTTTTGAAAATGACAACTATGAGGGGGCCTGGCTGGCTCAGTTAGTAGAGCATGTGACTCGATCTTGGGATCATGAGTTTGAGCCCCATGTTGGGCATACAGCTTACCTTGAAATAGGGTTATCTGGTGGCTCAGTGGATTGAGCCTCCGACTTGATTTTGGCTCACGTCATGATCTCAGGGTCGTGAGGTCAAGCCCTGAGTCAGACTCCGTGCTCAGCTGAGAATCTGCTGGAGATTTCTCTCCCTCTAACCCCTCCACCGGCTTGCGCGCGCTCTCTCTCAAATAAATCTTTAAAAAAAAAAGGGTGCCTAGGTGGCTCAGTTGGTTAAGTGACTGCCTTCGGCTCAGGTCATGATCCTGGAGTCCCTGGATCGAGTCCCGCATCAGGCTCCCTGCTCGGCAGGGAGTCTGCTTCTCCCTCTGACCCTCCCCCCTCTCGTGCTCTCTCATTCTCTCTCTCTCAAATAAATAAATCTTTAAAAAATAATAATAATAAAAATTTTTAAAAATGACAACTATGATTAAAAGCTACAGAATGAATGATTTTTTATCTTTATATACCAAAAAGATGTTTCTCCTCCTGCTGGTTCCAAGCGATAGTTCTAAAACATTAACCACAGTTTATATTTTTAAAACAGCATTTTATATAACTTAAAACTAATCACTTAAAGCAGCTGACAGTTTTAAGACTCGGCAGAGTTCAGAATATGAAAGTTTTATTTGACATAGGAAACTAAAACATTTTCTAACAAACACTATTGACTTATTACATATAACAGAATAATGCCATTCAATTATAAAGGTAAAGAGTTTTTAAATTTTAGGTTTATAAACTTTTATAGTAAAATGCACTATCCAATAATCTTATGTTTAGAATATGATACAATGAGAATGAAATCCGTAAGAACTGGGCAGAACCCAGCAATACCCTCTACTGTATGTATTAATGGACAAGATGTGTTTGTGGTTTTTTTTTAAAGGTGTGACCCTTTTAAAAACGGCAGCATTATGCTTGAATCAGAAAGTTCATCGGGACTGCCTCATCCTAAGTAGAGATTGCAGCTAATAGTACCTTTCCTTAGGAATTACTTAAAGGCACTATATGAGGTTAAAGGACTAACTTTGGTATATGAACTCAAGCCAATTTTTGCTTGCCTCGATGTCCTTATAGCATAAGGAGGTACTATATTGTATTATGATACAGTAAGGCCAGCCTGTTAAATCTGTGTTAAAATTAAAGTCCCAGAAAGTGAACCCTAGTAATTTACCGCAGTTCCACTTCTGACTTTGGGAAAAATCCCACTCCATTCATAATGTGCCATGGAGAGGATTTATTTCTTACAAGATTCTGAAAGCTGAGAACCAGATGTAGTTAGCTCTTTGGAGAGAACTTCATCATGATGCTCAACCTGCAGGTGTCTGAGCCCTGCCCCCACCTCCTGAGGCCGAGGAGAGGGAGGGAATCAACGTTTCTAAACAAGTGTCTAAGTGGCTCATGTCTAAAATACCTCCAGCTTCAAAGTTTCTGAAACAGTTGACTAAATTTATAGAAGACCTTGATTTAGCAGTGAGCTTATTTCCCCCTTTGGTGATTAGGAAACCACTTTGTGTGTTGGAGCAACGCATCCATCATTCAGCCTTTACAACTGTCGTCCTGTAGTGACATACTGTGGCTGTTACCCACAGGTTCAAAGCAAGCATGATCACAAATCGCACAAGAACTGAAATTAATCAGAAAGAAGAAGTATGTATTAACAAGTACTGTTCTCCCGTCCTAAAACAAAATCCCCTCCTGCTCTAAGCAGAAACCTACTTAGCTGCCCCTCAGCCTGCCAACGAAACCCGGAACTCCGCATCACGAGAGGTTTTGAACAACTTTGGTTCTAAATATTTCTGGGGGGGAAAACTTTACCCTAAGTGACCTGATGAACACTCTTCTGATAAATAAGATTTATCAGATTTAATGTATCTCTGTGGTTGTAAAACACATAAGATATCAGCTGAACTGTCTTTAAAAGAGGATTCCCAGATACACTGATCACTTTCAGAACAAGTGTCACTTTAAATACAAAGCAAATTACAACTAGAACATTCTCAATCTTTCAAACTTTTAAATATGTGGGTTTGTTTTGTTGGTTAATTACAGTTTGACTCTTCTCCCCATACAGAGAGTCCTTCAGATCCTGTGGAGAAGACTGAGACCCGTCTTTCCCTTTCCCCACCTGACCCAAGTTCAGGCTTTGACCAGAATAGTTTTAATGCTGCTCTCAGAGCCCTGGGAGGTGTTTGACCCTAAGATAAGCCTCTGCAAAGGGACCAGCATATGTACCCACTGCTCTGTAGCAATATTTCTCAAATAACAGTTCGCTTACTTAAAGGGTCTATGTGCCAGGGACATGTTCCTAGTCTTCACAGAATAGGTGACATGATTTGTTTTGATCATTTTCCCCGAAAATATATATGCTCAACTTGGGAGTGGAAAACAGCCTAAGGAATTAACTAAATTCTTTTTACGTCAATCCAAGTATTTTTCCCCCTTTAAAAAAAACAAGGATGTGGGGGTCAAATGATTGTCAGCTCAGTAGACCCCGTCCTCACACTCACACTCACTCAGCTCCCATTCGCTGTCTGTGGCTAAGCCATGTGTCCCCTGCTCGTGACCTGCACGCGGGCTGCTCCCTATCACCGTCTCTTCCCTTTCTCCCCATCTCACCCTTCAAATTCACCGCCCTGGGCCCCTCCAACTGGTCAGATTCCCCCTTTAGATCCTGTCCTACTCTTCCAAAACACACTTCCCAGCATTCTTTAGTAGTTAGTTGCGTGATGTCCATCTCCATCCCACTGTCCATCTCCATCCCACTGTCCATCTCCATCCACTGCAAGATCGGAGGCTCCACAAAGATAGGACTCTCCTACTTTGTGCTGCATGTTCTATCCCAGAAACTACAAGATGCAGATGCTTAGTCCCGTAAGTGGGGCTGATGTCCAGGAATAAACTTGCTGGCCTCTCACTGGACAGTGGAGCAAGCTGATCCGTGAAACCATAAGACAATTTACAAATGAAGGAGGCACAAAGGGCACACAATTCAAAAAAGGGGGTACTTACTTGTAAAGTCACTGGTGGTCATTAAAGTTGTTATTATTCTTGCTGTAAAAGAAAACATTCAGCAATATCAACTTGCTTCTCAAGGCATTTTGATATTTAGCTAACGTCTTTCCATTTTTGAATACAGGATATATGCTTACTGGGATCTTGGTTAAAAAAGATTTTGGTAGTGCAGAATACTAAATCAGTACTATATTTTATAAAACCGCTCAAATCCCGCCATGTGTCCTAGGCCAGTGGTTTTGAAGCTGCTCCTAAGAGCAGACACGGTGTCTAGAAGGTAATTCAGTGCTGCCCAAGGAAGGCAGGGAGAAGCTGAGCCCATCGTGTGTGCCAACCCACAGCTCGCCCTCCCCAAAGAGCAAGTTTTGAAAATCTCATTTACACAGGGGGCTTCTGGTAAGATTTCATTTAAAGAAAGGCTCCCACTAGTGAAAATGTTTTTAAATGACTGAACTCTACACCCTTCTTTTCTAGATAATGTTCTAAGTAAAGGAAACAGGCCCAGCAAAGGGCATGATTTTCCTCAGGGTCTAACTAGAACAGTTCAGTTCAATTCATTTTTCCAGTTCAGCACTTGACTTCGTGAACACAGGAAACTGGAGTATGGGTGTGAGTGGACGCACACGGGAGACGTGAGCTGGGAGCTGGAGAACTCTACCTGCTTTTCCTAACCCGAACCAACCCGCACAAAGCTCTCCCTCCCCCTCACATGTCACACAAATTAGGTTTAAAACCAGTTTGTTTCTTCCCATAAAGTTATAATCCCCAGGTTATATGTCATTTATTCAATGTGCATTTAAGTACTTATTAAGCACAGACTGCCATGCAAAACAGATGGAAATGTACTACATGGTCTTTGAAGATTTCCTACAAGAAGATCGAATAAGCAGCATTTCAAGATAATTCCTGAAGGTAAAATTAGGGTGCTAATAAGTAATATACCTAATTAGCAATTCCAGAAACCATACATATACTTCAACATTTCATAACCCTTCAACATTTTAAAGCTGAAAATAAAACCCAAGAAGCCTTAATTTTAAATAACTTGGGACACAAAGACCCCTTTCCATCAACCCTTAATGGAGAAATCGGTCCTTTAGGACACAGAAGAAATATGAAGTAGAATTCAAATATCTAAAAGTAGTAAACCTAATTAATGTGAGAGCTCTGAATTTAAAAAACTTTTCTACCTAAAACAGCTTATATGTATTTTAGGTAGTTCCTGCAAGAATCCACATGAACGGTGGAAATTCTGAACTTGAGACCAAGCAATAAGGCTCCAGAAAAACTCCACGGGGGCAAATTATATTCATTCTCAAAAGTCAGTGCATGACTTTCATCTCTGTAATCTGTTACATCATAAAGATTCATATATTTAAAACAAGTTAGTGAATTCCACATAATCAACCTCTTGATGCTTTCCAAAGAAGAGAGGACGGCTGATATTAGGCCAGATTTTTTTTTTTTTAAGATTTTATTTATTTATTTGACAGAGAGACAGCAAGAGCAGGAACACAAGCAGGGGGAGTGGGAGAGGGAGAAGCAGGCTTCCTGCCGAGCAGGGAGCCCGACGTGGGACTCGATCCCAGGACCCCGGGATCCTGACCTGAGCCGAAGGCAGACGCTTAACGACTGAGCCACCCAGGCGCCCATTAGGCCAGATTTTTGGAGAAAGGTGTGCTTTTACATTTTTTTTTCTTTAGCAACTGGAATATGGATCTTGCAGAGAATGGAAAGTAGTCTGCGTGATATCAGAGTCGTAACTATGGAGGTTCTACGTGAATAGCTACGTGCAAAGGATTAAAGCTTGTGGGCCTGTGACAGGTGGGCACCAAGGTGATAAACTCTTCTGGGTAGCCGCCCGCGATGCCCCCAAATCCGCCCCTCCCCTGGCATCTTGCTCTTACTCGCACAGGTGTACGAAGCGAGGCTCCAGCTCAGGGCGCTCACGGCTCCCGAGTCCCGGGTCTTCCACAGGTACTGGAGCTGAGCAAACTTGCTGGCCGTGCTGATGAAAGTACTTAGATTCTGTTCGCAGGGAAAACATGAGCAAATCAGGAGTCCCTCGGTTAAAAAAGCCAGGGAGGAACAGGCAGAAATGGCTGGAAGGAGCAGGGAGAGCGGTCACCCTGGGCGCAGACGTCTGCGAGGACTGACCCCCGGTGGGAAGACTGCACCAGAGAGCTGGCCAGGGCACAGGGCCACGCGGGCCGGAGGGTGGGGGCGGGGGGGGTCGGGTCAGGACAGAGCGCCAAGGGCCAGGTGGTGGGAACTGAGGTAGGGCCCCAGTCACTCATGTCACAGATATTCTAACAGCGTCTGCTGGATACTCCACCATCCGTCTTCCAGGAGAAAACGCCATCTCTAGAATCATGAAGTAGTTCTCTTGGGGAGCATCACCAAGGCCCGGACAGATTTAGCAAATAAAACTCCAGGACACCCAGGTAAATTTGAATTTCAAATCAACAACAAATAATTTTTAGCATGACTATGTCCTGTGCAATATTCGGGACATACTTATACTAAAAAATTCTTCGTCGTCAATATGGCAACCCTATCTAATTGCTCTCCAGGTGTCACAAGGTTGAAATGTAACATGGAGTCAAGTGCGCTTTCCAAGCAAGGATCACAGACAAGATGCGGGCGAAGGGGGTGCAATTCATTAATCTGGGTATGGCAGGCACTGACTGACTGGTGACCACCAATTCTTCTCCTTCTCCCGTTGGGTGGGACTTCGGAGAGAAGATCTGGGGCCAAATGGTTCCTGACCCACCCTCAGAATCCTATTCTCACACGATGGGAATTTTTGGCCCTTCACCAAGGAAGGAAAAAAGGACAGAACTAACCCTTTTCCAAGGAGGACGAAAATGTTGCCGGGGGTGGGGGGGTGGGGGGACAAGTTTAGAAAAATAATGAGTTTGTGGCCAATATGCAATCATCAAGCTGATCAGAAGCTGTTTAACTTACATCCAGTTCTTCATCTACTACTGTTAAAAGTACCTCCCCAGCCCGGTTCTCTATGCACCCCCAGCCCCAAAAGGAAGTAACAAATGTTGCCAAACATCTCAGGGAGAATAAGGTCTTCTAACATTTGGACAAGACTGTGCTTTCGTTCCTTTGGTACAGCTGACAAATTTGCAGGCTAAACATTCGACCTACGCAGTCCGCTGCGGAACGGGCGGCCTGGAGGGACAGACTACCTCACACGCTCCGTCCTCAAGGCGCGATCCACTTACCATGGCCAGATCTATGATCCACTTCTGCAGGGGAAGGACGAACCACGAGGCCACGAATCTACCCAGCGCTAAGGGAGACAGCAGTAGCTTGACTGACGGCCCCGCCGCCCCCCACCCCGGGCCCGGGCCTTCACGCCAAGGCCGTGGAGTCTCCGCACCTAAGCCGACCTGGGAACGGCAGAAGCGGACTGTGGCAGAGAACTGCCAGCAGCGCCCTGCGTCTGTGGACTGTTGCTGGGGGTCCAAGTGATTCTAAGCGCCCACTTAAGCCCTGAACGCGCAGACACGTGCAACGCCATGTCAAACGTTAAGCACTTGAACCAGCAGCTCGACATTATGGGGTGGCCGCGTTCTGCAGGTGTCACGTGAAATGCTCTTCACTGACTTCCCCCTTCCCGGCCAACTCTGGTGTCAATCCAGTTGGCGTCAGCAACGCTGACAGACAGGAGAAATGACAGCGGATTTCCGCCAAGCTCAGGGAGGCTGCAGGCACAGAAAGCCCAGCTAGACAAGCTGAAGCAAACACGTGAGATAATGGCCGGGAGCCTCAGCTGTGACCTTGGACAAGTCCCATTCTTTCTTTTGACCTCAGTTTGCTTATCTGCAAAATGGACTTAACACTCCTTGTCCTATCTACCTCCTCAATGCCTGGTGGCACGTCATAGGGACCCAACCAGGTTGCTATGATTATAATTAATAACTTTATTTATTTATTTATTTACTTTATTTATTTATTTATTTATTTATTTATTTATTTATTTATTTATTTTACTTATTTGACAGAGAGAGAGACAGTGAGAGAGGGAACAAAGCGGGGGCAATGGGAGAGGGAGAAGCAGGCTCCCCGCAGAGCAGGGAGCCCGATGCAGGGCTTGATCCCAGGACCCTGGGACCATGACCTGAGCCGAAGGCAGATGCTTAACGACTGAGCCACCCAGGCGCCCCAATTAATAACATTATTTAAATGAAAGGATCGACAGTGCCCTGGCTGAAAAGTCTGGAGAACTAATTCTGGGCAACCTGGTCAACACCAGAAGGGGTGGCGGGAATATAGGCAGATGAAATCTTGTTTTTAAAACACACTCTAATTCAGTTTCTTACACGAATTTTACCCATTTTTATGCTCTTCATTCCAAACCAGGAGCAGCAACTCCTGAGTTCAAGATGACCTTTTTGTTGGGTTGCCTGATTTCGCAAGTAAACATACAGCGCACCCAGTTAAACCTGAATTTCAGATCAACAAAAATAGTCTTTGAGTACGAGTATGTCCCGTGCAATATTTGGGATGCACTTTTGCTAGGAAAAAGGTCCCTGTTCATATGGCAACCCGACCTACTGTCCATCACGACTGACAGGAGGAGGTTATAAACAGGAACTTGTCCTGTGCCCCTCCTCCTGTGAGTCTCCCAGTCGGGACACACAGCAGCTTAGTTATTCTCAGCAAGGGAGGAACTGGGTTTTTACAGAGAGTTGAAATGAAAGCCGGGCCCTGGTTCACAGAAGATGCTGCGTGAGTGAGCCCATGTCTGCATCATGACCGGATCCCCACCATAACCCTTCTCACGTCTTGGGCATCATTTTCACTTCGAACAAACGTTCAAGAACCCCTCGCTCACAGGCTGGCAGACAGTAGCCAGCCCGCTGACCAGGTGCGTTAGACATTCCCGTTATTATCATTTCAAATACTTTGGGGATGTTTTCAGGGAAGAAGGAACATCTCCCTTCCCCTGAAGAATAAACGTGGATGAGGGGGCTCTGAGCAGGGTGCTTCCATCACACGGCACGCCACCAGGGAGGGACTGAGTCCACGAGCCACTGGGCTCGCGGGCGCGCCGTGGGCACCCTGGCCTCGGAAAGGAGGTCCCGGGGCAGGACTGCACTGGAATCTCTCTGGGTTGGGGAGGTATATTCACTCACATGGAGTCTTGCATTTGGGATCTTTTTTAACCAAAAAGAACATATGTCTGGTAAAGGACTCTACTTAACACACACTGCGAGCAGGTAACACCTCGTCCCATTGATTCCTGGATGCAGACGGAAGGATACACAGCGAGGTAGGGTGCTGCCCCTTTCACGTTCCCATTGAAATGGAAGACACACAGCAGGAGGAGGGCATCTGAAAGACAAAGGCCCGGAGTGAGGCAGGAGCGGTCCGAGGGCGGAGGGTGGGGGGACGGAGGGGTCGAGGGGTCCCTTACCTTGTGCGATGAGAATGGGGTACTCCAGGTAGGTGAGCAGCGGGTACTCATAGTAACACTGGTACTGGAGAAACACGAGGAAACTGGGGACAGAGAGGGTGCGCCTGAGCTCAGACCGACCCAGCGCCCGGCAGGGAGACCCAGCCAGCCCCCCAGGAGCCCAGGTTTGCTCGCAAAACCCTGGAACTGGAGGTTGGAGCCTACGAGTGTCAAGGGGGGAGATTTTGAACACAAAGGATGGACTGGTGATGTAAGAATGGCCACAGCTTTGCTCAGGGCCTGTGCCCAGGGCTGACGGGGCACCGGGCATGATGTGCACGGTCTGTCAAGTCCCTTTCACAGGGGGCAAGCTGTGCACCAGGATTAGCAGAGACGGGGCTCCTGGCCCCCGGGTTGGCCTGGCAGCTGCCTGGCACCGGGCAGCCCCCTCAGAAGGCCACACAGGCCAAGACAGACAGCCCAGGCGGTGGCAGGCAGAGCTCGTGAGGGGCTGGGCCGGTTTGGACGCAGCCCTGAGCGGAGAGAGGACCTTTGAAGAGAACCAACTACCCAGATGATCCTTGTGGCCTTCCAGAGTGCCGCCCAGCCAAGGAGGAGCAGTGGGGGAGAGGCATGAAGAACAGCCATCGGTTCCTTAAGAAAATTCTAGCTCTGAGAGGCTGAGGATGTAGGGAGGGGAGGTAAAGACCCCAAGACCCGACCCTTCTCAGGAGAAAAGGCCTGGGCTTCCTGTCCTTCTGGCGCACACCCCAGCCAGTGAGTTCCCTAAGAACCTCAATGCCCCCAGCTGTCCCCTCAGACTCTCCTGCCCCATCACCCAGGCTGTCTCCTCAGGTGAACCAGACCTCCCTCCCTCATCCCGATGTGACCCCTCTCATTTCCTCAGCTAGGAAGGGGGCTGGCGTGTGTCCCCCCCCCCCCCAATCCTGCTTCCAACCTAGCGAACAGTTCTTGGCTGAGCTGGGGGTAAGGGGACAGGGGCACAGGATGGGGGGTGGGCGGCCAGCATCACCGTGAGCTTGTGGTCTCCCCAGGCCTGGGGCTCCCTAGTTGTCCCCTTCACGAAGGCCAGCAGCCCTTCCCAGGGGTCAGGCTGGCTTTGCAGGTGGTCCCGTCCGCACTTCAGGGGAAAAGCAGGTGCTCTTCCGGGCCTCTGCCATGCTGCGTGGCTTCCCCTCCTGTCGAACAGGCCTCTAGAGCAGCACCATTCTGAGGGGGACCTCGGGGTGCAGCTGCACCCCACCACCTCTGCAGAGCAGCTCTGCAGCCAGCCAGGCCCGGGCACGGCAAGCTTGGAGCGGACCCCACTGAACGGATGATCTGTAGGGTCATGGGCGGCACCCACTTCATGCAGGGCGTACCTCCCATACGCACAGTGGCCTTCAGGGCAGGTGGGAGACCCCTGGGTGTCACAGCTGAGGTCGCTGTCTGGGGTCATCCACACTGCCCTCCACATTTTACAGACCACCTGGCGAAACTAAGGCCCAAGAAGCCAAGGTCCTATGACAACTCAGGGAAAAGACAAAGACCAGAGCCTGAATTTCCCGACACCGATGGGGTGCTTCCCACCACCCCCACCCAGGCTGTGGCGCTCCCAGGGAGGCCCCGCTGCCAGGCTGCAACGCTCTCGCTCTGCGCGACCCAAGCATTCAAGGTCAACCACCTGTCACTCCTGTGGCCTGGGGGCAGTCAGGGTCCTTCCTTTATTTTTAATATATTTTTTTAAGATTTTATTTATTTAATTAACAGAGAGAGACACAGCAAGAGGGAACACAAGCAGGGGGAGTGGGAGAGGGAGCAGCAGGCTTCCCGCTGAGCAGGGAGCCCGAAGCGGGGCTTGATGTGGGGCTCGATCCCAGGACTCTGGGATCATGACCCGAGCTGAAGGCAGACGCTTAACGACTGAGCCACCCAAGCGCCCCTATTTTTAATTAAAAAGTAATACTTTAGAATGCTCATGACAAAATCAAACCAAATGGTGTCTGCCCCCAGCCCCACAAATCTGTTGAAATTCCTGGTCTGTTCCATGGAGTGACTTGAGTTTCCTTCCTCAACGAATAAGCTAGAGGTTTGAACAAAAACTACACATGTACCCACAGAGGCAGGAACTCAGGAGTCAGGAGCGGAACCATATTTGGACTGCAGACTTTTCCAGAGCAATCTTACCCAGAGGCCAGTGCATCCAATAGCCTAGAAGTCAGCCTGCTGGGCCTGGGGAGAGGAAGCAGGGTCACCCCTGCTTCTGCCCCGCAGTCGGGCCCCTTGCTAAAGGCAGAGCCCTCCCGTCCAGTGCGGGTTAAGAACTGAGACTCTGGAGCGAGGCTGCTGGGCTCCCAATCCCCAGCATCAGGTTCCTAACCTCTCCCGCCCTGGCTTCTGCACCTGTGAAACGCGGGTAACAGCAGTCCCTAAGCACCATCTTCAACAAATAATACTTTGCTATGTTCACCTACATCCCACCCTCTTTTTCTTTGCTGAAGTGCGCGTGTGATTTCCCCCCTGCAGGCTTCAGGAGGCATTTCTAAAATGCAGGCGTTTTCTTGCCACTTCACACCAACCCACATCACAAGTCATTTTCTGGTATCATTAAGATATGGCTTATGTCCCCGTTGGCCCAATTTTTTCAAAAATGGGTTTTTAGAATTAATTTGCTAAGATCAGGATCCAAGGAGGGCACACGTCCTCCAAGAGGCTGTTAGGCTTCTACTTCCCAGGAGCTAAAGGGTCCCTATGATGGTGATGCCTAGGGGGGGGTTCTTTCTGCTGGAAATCCGGCGGCTATGTTTCCCGCCAGCAGGCCGGCAGGCAGGCACTGCCCCCAGGGCCCAGTCCTAGCTGGCCCCCACCAGCGAAGGCTGCGGAAGGAAAGGAAGAAGAGGGCAGGGTGCTGCCAACTCCTCCACCCACAATATGGCGAATGAGTCTAGAAAGCAGCAAAACCCAGTGAGTGTGGCGAGCGGGGAGGGTCGGCATCAGAATGGAGAGAGCCAGGACGGGTGAACCCTTGGACCCTGCTGCTGCCCGTGAACTTGGGCATGGTGCCTCACCTTCTCGGCCTCAGGTTCCTACTGTCTAGGGATTAAAACAGTGCTTACTCCCTCGGGCGTCCTGGGGACTGGCTACGATAATGCCTTTAAAGCACACTCAGCACACAGACCCGGCTCTGGAAATGGTACCACTAAGATGAAGCGTGGCCTGAGGTGGAGATGAAACCGAGGAATCCAGCGGAGGGGGCCGCCGATCACCTCCCGCTGGGCTTGAAGGAGAGGGTAGCAGCCGGCTGGGCCTGGACACAGCCACGGCCATTTACAGCGTCCGGGCGCCGGGCCCGGCCGTCCACGAAGCCCGCCACCCGCGCCTCGACCTGCGCCGCGGTCCCCGCAGGCCCCGCACACCCGCCTCCTCCCACGCCGCCTCCAGCTCTCCCGCCCACGTGAGCCGCCCCGCCCCGCCCGGGGGCCGGTTTTGCCGACGGGCGCGGTTAGACAAAGCGATAGCCCGCCGCTGCGGGCAGCGCCTGCCGACGTTGCAGGGTGTGGGCAGGCTCCCGACCCCACTTCGAGAGGCATCGGGCCGTCTTCGGCTCACCTTCCCCGGCGCAGGGACCTACGAGAAACCGACGCTAGCCAGCCGGGGGGCCCCAGCGCTGTGGGGTCGTTCACCCACCCGCCAGTGGCCGATTCTTTCTGGACGAAGCCTCTTCCCAATGGGCGCACCCGGGGCAGGACCCCCATCTCTCCCACCCCCCGAGGTCTCTTTCTCCCTCCCTGGCCCCTGGCTTTTTTCCAACACCGGACCCCCGGGGTCAACCAGCCGGCTGCCAGTCCAGGGCGTGCTTCCCCCGAGGACCGGCCCGCACCGTCGCGGGGTGATAATGCGGGGCCGCGGACCGGCGAGGAGCGAGGTGGGGAGGCCCCGGCCTTGCCACGGGCGCGCCGCTAGACTGCCGGGTTTCATGTGCCTACTTTCCCACCAATTCGAATCTTCCCAACGGAGTTTTACAACTCTGCTTTTCGCGTTTATATCCTTAAATATGGAGTCAGGGCATCCACTCCGGATTTCTGACGGATGAGAGCTCTCGGGGCGGCCCTGGCTCCTCTCTGGCCGGCTGTGGCCGGATTCAAGTCCTCCTTTTCTCCCTCCAAAGAGCTCCCCGTTCTCTGAATCCCCCTCCCCCCACGTGTAACTCTTAAAAGCCAGAGGATCCTTAGAATTTATAGTTCAACCCCTCATTTTACACGCGAGGAAACCGAGACCCGAGAAAAGGGGTGATGGAGGGGGGAGGATCTGTATGACAGAGCCTCCAGGTGCAAATGGCTCGCTCAAAGCCGCTCAGTCGGGCTGTGGCTGCCGGCGGGGTGATGGTTTCGCCGGGTGTCGGTTTCCGCATCTGTAAAATGGGCGTGCGCCGTCCGCGCGGTGAGCCGCAACTAATCAGGGGAGGTGAGCGGCCACGGGAAGTGCCTCCCCAGAGGCGGGGTGCTTTCGGCTCCGCTCTCCGGGTCTACTCAGTTAGAGCCGCGGCGCTCCAGGGCTCCCGGCCCCTCCAGGCCGCAGAGACGGTGGGGAGAGGGCAGCCGCCCCGGCCTTACCCCGCCAGCTCCAGAAGTAAACTCGGGAGGCTGATGCCCCGCGCGCTGCGCGCCGCCAGCACCGCGAAGATCTGCGGCAGCTTGAGCGCGGCGCACACGCCCAGCGTGCTCCAGTTGCAGAACAACAGCAGCTGCTCCCGCATGGCGCCCGCGGGGCTGGGGGCTCCGGCTCGGGACCTGGGGGCTCGGCGGGGGCGCCGCTGCGTGAGGGAAGGAAACAGCTCTGCGCTGGGCCGCCCGGCGCGCCGAGTCCTTCCGCCTTTGCCCGGCCGCCCCGCCCACGCCCGGGGGCCGCCCCGCCGGGGGCCGCCCACTTGGGCACCGCGCCTCCGCCCGACCTCCGCGCCCCGCCCCGCCCCGCCCCGCCCCGCCCGGGTCCGGTCCTCACCCCTCCCCGCGCCCGTCCGCCCCGCCCCGCGCCTTGCCCGCCCCTTCCCCAGGGCCGCCCCGGGGCCGCCCAGTCCCGGGCCCGCTCCTCCGCCCACTTCTCCGCTCCCCGCCCCGCCCCGCCCCGGGCCGTTCCCCACCACCCCCGCCACCCCGCCTGCCACCTTGTGCCGGGCTCGCCCAGACCCCTCCCCGCATCCCCGCGCCGGTCCGCCCCGTCCGGTGCGCTCCGCCCCCTCCGCCCCCTCCGCCCCCGGCCCCGCCCCGGTGCGTCCTGTCCCGGGGCGGCGGCTCAGCCGCGCCGAACCCGGGCGGTGCCCGCTGGTGATTCCTTTTTCTTGTTGGGCTCGCGCGGTGCCGAGCTGCCGGGGGACCCCAGACAGTTCCGCTTTCCCATGGGTTGGGTGGGTACAGGCTGAATCCCGGGCGGGCAAACGGGCACCCCCTCGCGGGCCGATGGACCGTTTTGTCGGGATTTTTCACCCCCCAAGTGCTTTTCTTTCTTTGTTTTTCTCGTTAAGCATTTCAGAGATGAAAACTTGTAACGACGTTAAGGATCCAACTTCGCATACGTGCGTCCTCCTCGTTTTACTTGGGGACACAGGCTTTGCCCATCAGTGAGGGGCCAGAACCTCCGGCGGTGGTCTCATTTCCTGCCCTTTCCTGCCGCTGAGTGTGGGGGCGCTCCTCCCCATCCCCTAGAAGTCGGGCACCTCGCCACTTCAGAGGGAACGTCCTTCTTTTTTTTTTTTTTTTTAAGATTTTACTTATTTATTTGAGAGAGAGAATGAGATAGAGCATGAGAGTGGGGAGGGTCAGGGGGAGAAGCAGACTCCCCGCGGAGCAGGGAGCCCGATGCGGGACTCGATCCCGGGACTCCAGGATCGTGACCTGAGCTGAAGGCAGTCGCTTAACCGACTGAGCCACCCAGGCACCCAATGAAACTTTATTTATTTATTTATTTATTTATTATAAAGATTTTATTTATTTATTTGAGAGAGAGAATGAGATAGAGAGCATGAGAGGGGGGAGGGTCAGAGGGAGAAGCAGACCCCCCGCCGAGCAGGGAGCCCGATGCGGGACTCGATCCCGGGACTCCACGATCATGACCTGAGCCGAAGGCAGTCGTTTAACCAACTGAGCCACCCAGGCGCCCGGGAACGTTCTTCTTAAGGAGGTAAAATAGATTTTATGATAAAGGAAGGTTAGGTAGTCGCGGCACAAAATGAAGGGGTGGAGGGTGTTCTCCAAACTCTCAGAATCGCAGGAGGGGTAGTCCAGGTTCTGAAGCAGAAAATAAATCACACAAATGCAATGCTAGAATCCCCGGTGGCTGGTTTTGTACTGTGAACCTCAGCTGGGCTTCCAGGCTTTCCTCCTGTCTGCCCCACGCTCCTCCCCGCGCCTCCAGCCCCCCCCCCTCCGCCCCCACCCCGGGCAATCAAAACCCTTCCTCTGGAAAAAACCAGAAGTATTGGGTCCTCCTTCCCAAGCTAAGGGGGAACAGGATATTCAGAAGGAAAGTTTTAAGAGGAAAATAGAGTGTGCGTGTTTAATCCTTATCTTCTAGAGATCCTGAAATACAGATGAAATATGTCTGGAATTTGCTTCAAAATATTGGGTGCTTGGTGGGGAAGGGTGGGGATGTAGAAGAAACAAGATTAGCTGTGGGTTGATCATTCTTGGCGTTGGTTATGGGTATAAGGGGGATACCGTTCTATAATAAAAGTTTAAAAACTAGAGAGAAGATAGGCACGAAGTGCTTGTTACCCTCATTTTAAGGGGAAGAATCTGTGCTCCAGGAAGGTGAGGCAGCTTGCCTCCTGTCCCACAGCCAGCCCAGCTGGAGTCCGTCTCTGTCCCCCCCGGGGCGCAGTGCCCTTTCTACTTGGTGCAGGCACACTCCCCTGGAGTCTGGGGGAAGCAGCGGCGCTGGGATGGCTTGGTGGCTGCAGCTCTGACACTTAACGAGCTGCCTCACTATAGGTCATTCATCCAACCTCCTGGTGCTTCAGTTTTCTCCTCTGCAGGATGGGTACAGCAAAAGCTTCCCAGTGCTCATCGGAACGTTGGCTCTCATGGGATCGGCACCACCAGCCCTGTGTTGTTGCAGTTCTCTGACTGAGCCCTGCCCCGTTACCTAGGGCTCCTGGGCTTCCCTGGGAATCAGCCGTTTCCCAGGAAAGGAGCCTGACATCCTTTTAATAGAGCATGGTGTTTAGAAACAAAGACCCGGGATGAGATGTGCTTAGTACTTTTGAGGTGTCAGTTGCATCTGCCCTCTTAGGAGCCCGAGCTAGGGCGTGTGCGTGTGTGTTGTGTTAATCGGCTTGGGCTGCTTTAACAAAATACCACAGTCTGGGTGGCATAAACAACAGAAATTTATTTTCCCATAGTTCTGGAGGCTGGAAATGGAAGGTGCTGGCAAGGTTGGTCCCTGGTGAGAACTTCTCCCCCGCTGTGTTCTCCCTATGTCCTCACGCGGCCCTTTCTCTGGGTGTACACACCCCTGCTGTCTCTCTCTTCTTATAAGGACACCAGTCCCATTGGACGAGGGCTCCACCCTTATGACCTCAATTACCTCTTTAAAGGTCCTGCCTCCAAATATAGTCACACTGGGTTTGGTGCTTCTGCATGTGAATTTGGGATCCGAGGACATAATTTAGTCCATAATATATATATATATAATCATAATTCTTTGTATATATCCAAATACATTATATATATATAACATATATATATCACACATACACATGCTGACCCAGAATCTTCCTTTTAACAAGATCCCCCGGGTTGAAGGTACACTAAGCTTGAGAAGCACGGGCTGCAGGACCTAAGGAGGATAACTGCACTCCCTGTGGGACACCTTTATAAATATTGATTCTCTTGGCCAAACGTTTGCTACGTGCATAATGGACCGCAGCGAGGTTAAAATGCCATTCCCTGACATAGATTTAAAATGCAGCTAATCGGCTCTTTGCCACATCTACTGCGAGAATGAAGACCATTCTCAGCAATCAGACTGTCGACATTCCAGAAAATGTCGACATCGCTCTGAAGGGACGCACTGCGAGCATGAAGGGCCCCCGGAGGAACCCTCTGGAGGGACTTCAACCACATCAATGTAGAACTCAAGTCTCCTTGGAAAGGAAAGGAAGAGACTCCGAGTTGACAAATGGTGGGAACTAGAAAAGAATGGCTATTGGCCGCACTATTTGTAGTCGTGCACAGAACACGGTCAAGGGCGTTAACACGGGGCTTCCGTTACAAGATGAGGTCTGTGTGTGCTCCCTTCCCCATCAACATTGTTACCCAGGAGAATGGTTCTCTTGTCGAAATCTGAAATTTCTTGGTGAAAAATACATCGGCAGGGTTTGGGTGAGGCCAGGTGTTGCTTGTTCTGTATCTCAAGCCCAGAACGATGAGTTAATTCTTGAAAGAAATGATATCGAACTTGCATCAAACTCAGCTGCTTTGATTCAGCAAGCCACAACTGTTAAAAACAAGGATATCGGAAAATTTGGGGCGAGGTGGTATCTATGTTTCTGAAAAAGGAGCAGTTCAGCAGGCTGATGCATAAGATCTTAGTTGTCCAGCTATAGAAACAGCAAGATGCTGGATGATTTTTCAGACTTATTTGTGGTATTTTAAAGATGCAATAAAAGCTGTATTGATTTTGGGACTTTTTCTTAAAAAGAAAAAAAAAAGGCAGCTAATCTTTGAAGTGGCAACTGCAGGAGTGTCTTCTTTACTGTTAGCCGCACTGAAGATCCTGTTGCATCGTCTTACATAAATCGAGTGGCCTCGATAGCAGGCCACCCTCACTACCACCCCAGCCTTCGGGAACAAAAAGGTCAACATAGCTTTCCTTTGTGTCACAGATTTGAATGCTTGTGAGGTTGCTTGCTATGGTAAAATCGAAGTGAGTCCGGGCGAGCCTCCAGGACAGGGTCCCACGAGACGACAGAATGTTCTGGAACTTTGAGGGGTCTGGAAGTCCTCTGCCAAGAAGAATGTGTCAGTGAAGGTCCAGTGACAGACCACTCAATCGTCCTCTGTGCTTAGCTTAGTTATGATCACCCAGTGTTGAGCAGTGTAAGGATGAGGAAGCAGATACGAGGAAGAGTCTGTAAGGAACAGAAGGCTCCCTGAAGAACTGTCCTGGGAGGGGGCATGTCCACCACCACAGGAAGCTGCCCCCGCGGCTGCCCGGTGCTCCTGAAGCTGGGGCCTGCTGCAAGGCATCAAGGCCCAGCTGTCCCAGAAGGACCCGCATTCCTATGTCTCTGTACTTCTGGAAGGGTCCTGGGGTGGTGCTTTCTGCCTTCTGAGCCTCCTGGGCGTGCTCCTGCTTGGCAGGAATCAGTCCCGTGAGAAGGTGGACTGCCGGGGCATCTGCTACCCCCAGCTTCATCGTTGGGCTGTCACCGCCAGTGACTTCACATGACCATGCCCTCTGCATGTGGCACTATGAGGATGCTCCCAGGATCTGGGGTGCTTTGGACAGAAGACACGATTTCTGTTTATTATGCCTTACTGGATGGTGGGAATTCTGCAGGGCAAATCTCATCTAAGCTGTTGGCACTCTGATATGTTCGGGTGTGGAAGCTGGAGGTGGAGGGCTGAGGCCCCCGCAGGGGCAGTGGGGAGCTTTCTGTCCGAAGTCTGCGTGGCTCAGCCCTGGTTTCCCATCTCACGACCCTCAGCGCTGTGAGGGCTCTGTCACTCAGACAGATTGCAGGGCTCCCAGTGCTCGGGGCAGGGGTCGGGGGAGGAGACAGGGGGAGCTGGAGAGGGCCCGGACACCGGGCATGGGGAAAAGAGAGTATCTGAGTTGCAGGGCCAAGGGCTGGCTCCGAGGACCAAGGCTGCAGGAAGTCTGGCAGAG